ACGATGACAACGATAGTAATAATAATAATAATAATAATAATAATAATAATAATAATAATATTGTTACATTATTGTCTGTTGCAAACTGCGACGTCCCTACCTGCAGTCTTTCAGTATTTTTTTTTTCCGCTTATCCGCCGGCGTACGATATGCGATCGCGTGTTTACGCAGGCGTACGGGTCACCGATAATCCAAATAGATAAAAGACGAGGGGGACTGGGTAAATCATGTATATCGGGTACCCCAGTTGTACGTACTTGTATCGCTGCTGCAGAACAGACGCAAACGGTCTGTCGGGTCGCCGAGACGAATACGACGCCGCCGCCGCCGCCGAAATCCGCTCATATTATTGTCATTTCGTTATTGTTATTATATTATTGTACCTACACGCCTCTACACACATACCGACGCGTTATCGTACGGCGGTAAGACGAGACGCACAGCGTACACACGCTTCGCAGACCAAAAAATATATACACTTATACATAATAATATTATATATAGGTAGGTACACATGGGAACTGGTATTGTTCGCGGGTGGAGCGCATCGCCAAAGTTATGACGTTCGTTTTTATTGTGCGTAAACTAAATCCCCTATAATATCGTGTGCTGTTTTTTTTTCTCCATACGACTCGAAAAAAAATAAAAACGTATAGTATGCGGATCGAGTGAGTGTGCGTCGCCGTTTTCTTTATTCCTTTTCGCCCACTGTCGTCGGAACGGTTGCAGAACGTTGGCATTTTTAGAATTGCGCACAAGACTATATTATACGAGTACAATACATGTATGGTGTTGTGCATAAAAAAAAAAAAAATAATATTTTATATTATAAAATAAATAAACACGTGGCTTATTGCGTGCCTTGGCATAAATTTCACTTTGATACGGCCGCGAACACACCACACACGCGCATTCTTTCGATAGCGTAATTATTTTGTGGACGTTGCATCCGATGCTGGCACATGTCGTGTCGTTAGTCTCTGGCATTGAATTCGCCGATTAGGTCGGTTTTCGATTGCGTTTTTTACTACTCACATTTATCATCATCAAACGACGAGAGACGGTCCGCTGACCGCTGAAGAACGCGTTATCGGATCGCGAGAATAAGCGATAATAATATTATGTAATGGGACTCGCAAAACTCGTCAGCCACTAGTATGATAATAAAAAAACAAAAAATTAAATTAAAATAAAAAAATAATGACAATAATATAGGTGCGTATCGTTGGAGCGATATTACGACTTATTAATGATCAAAACCGAATCATGGCGAGACGTGAAAATAATCCTCGTCGATGATTCCGTTTAATGCACGTCGTTTCCGGTCGGATATCTTTCACCATATTTCATGTTTTTGTATATATATATATAATATGGCTGGTATAGCCGTATAGGTACTTTTCTTGGGATACAACTCTAAATAATACTTCGGAGTGCCTATGCACATAGTTATAGAGGTATTATGGAGGAGTGGCGAAAAACCTCGACGCCCCAGTAATAATGCGATTTGCCGCCACGGAGATTTACACAAGAGTGTTTTTGTTTTCCGTAATATTGTATTTACACAGAGCCGCCACGTCGCTCGGCAAGCAGTCTTGTCTCATCACCGAGAAAGCCGGTGAACACGACAAAGATTTACGAGACCGATGAACCCAGCCGACGATTGGCGATTATTAAAATTAGACTCAGTTGATTAAAAATATAATATTATTATCTGTGTAGAAAAATGAACGTAATTATTATCGTTGTTTTCAATATATTTTGAAAAGTATAATAATATTAATAGTATAATATCGGCTGCTGCTGCCCCGTATTTACGGAGGCACACCGGTTTCATTATCGTTATTATTATTAAACATTATTTTTTACTTTACCATAAAAGTCCCGGAGCATAAAAACATATACACAGTATAGCAGTGTCTGTATGGCAGTGTGGACGAGGTTGGTCGGTAAAACGAGTTCTTCCGATAATTAGCTCCGGCTTATTTTTCCTTTCATAAATATTAATAGAAAATTATACGTAGGTATATACACAGGTAACTGCATTTTTTTTTTCGCCTTTTCCGCGCCGGACTTCTTCGCCGTCGCTGTCGTTGTTGGGTACTTACTATTGTATAACATCCGTAATAATAATTAATAATATATTCATACCGGCGTCATGCGTACACTCAATCAACGGGCACAGAATAATATTTTATTTCCCCGAAAATCGCACACGCCAAACGCCCCGGCGCAGTGCATACCTTCCACCTGTTTACCTACAATATAACGATTTATACGAGTATTATACTCTCTCGAGGAGGATTAATTTTTTTCTCTCGTGCGTGTAATTTTTCACTGGAAAAAAAAATTGTCAGCCGAGCGCCGAAAATCCCGCACGGTTCGCGTGTCATTATGCATAACGTATCAACGCGCCCCGTGACGGTTCCGATAATCCCCCCCCCCTCCTCCCCACCCATTCGGATTACTATTTTATATTATATATTTCATTACCGTTATTGTTGTTATTATTATTATTATTATTATTTTAATACCTATACGTACTCTACAATATAATAAACAGTATAATATTATACCCGCGCTTACGGTCGTGAATAATATTGCTCGACGACAATTTATTCTCGTTAAAAAAATATAATATGTGAAAAAAAAAAAAAAACAAGACAACTCGCACAATATTTTGAAACAGGGTCGTAAATTTCGGGCGGTACATTTTCCACAGACAACATTATACGTGTAAGCTGCACTATGACACGCGTGCATTATGTATAGGTATTATACGGTCGTACGTTCCTATTTATTACAATAATACACGGTCGCATTTAATTTATTGTAATATTATTATTATTTTCGAGTCGTCGGTGGCGATCCGAGACTACTGTTGTAGTGCCGTAGTCGTAATGTGTACCTCACGGCTTCACGACGACGGCTAAAACGGCTGCGGGTTTCCATTTTTATTGCAACGTTTAAAATGTTGTCGGAAATGAGCAGTAGTTCTGGTGGCGGTGGTGGTCACTGGTCGATTTCGCTTCGCATTTTATTTATACACACATAGGTGCATGTTTGATATACGTATACAAGTATGGCATTAATCATATTATTATATTGTGTAATATATTCGCGATAATCCGTAAAAATGTCGTCGCGTTTCGTGTCCTCGAGGCGAGCGGTTGCGCGTGATGCGGACGTTCCGGTCCAATCGATTATAATACTTTAATAACCGCTCGGCGGCTTCGTACATACCCATTATACCTACTGGGCCGGGCAAACGGTTATTTTTCCTTCAATATATATTTACAAAATATATACGAACGAGAAAATACGTGTTTCTAAATTAATATAACGGCGGGTACGACGACGGACGAATATCCCTCGAACAAACACCGGTGGGAAATATTTACAAAAGGCATTTTATGTATATACATAATAATAATCGTCTCTTTTAATGGTAACGGTTTTGAAATTGTCGTCTATAAGCCGTGAGGTATTATGTATTATATACATATATATATACAATATATATAGTATATATATTGGTATATATATATATGTGCGCGGGGTGATCCACGGTTTATTCCATCATCTATGTATAGGTACTCTATATAATATATCTACGGCGACCTGCGATTATTTCTGAAAATATAATATAAACGATGTGTTTAATTTGATTTTTTTTAACATTCATAATACCTATATAATACAGAATGGTACATATCATTATGTAAAACTCTTTTATATTAATACGTAGGTATAACCGCGCAGCTACCCTACCGCCATCTTATATGTAAGCGTATAGCTTATTCTTATATTATATCGATTGAAGTGAACCCGACTTTTTCAGAAATAATCGTTGGTCCACCGAAGGATTGAAATAATAATATAAACATCTCCGTAGTATAAAAGCTTGAACGCTCACCATACAAAGTTTTATTATATTGGAGTTTAATATAATGTCGTTAATTCTCGTAGAGTACGAAAAAGTAAAGTCATTGATTTAGGTATAAGAAGGTGGCCCTTAGTCCGCATATATAGGAGATTTTTTCAGACTTTTCCACTTAAGTTTTCGAGATATAAAAAAGTATATACAAAATTGTTTGTCGATTGGTTGGTTAGGTCAATCCCGCGTACTTCCCTGCTCTTAAAGTTCTAAAACTTGTTTTGTTCGAATAACCATAGTTTTCTGATAAATATATTCTGAACAAGGAGGTACCTTTTCCTATTCGTGACCCTAGGCTTGGGGTTGGATTATTACTTATTATTAATTTAGAATAATTATTAAACCATTTAAGACCATATCAATTTTAAGATAAGATGTACCTACAGGTACCTAGAATAATTAATTTTCATTTGTCAAAATATATCCTAATGACGCGTTGATGGTTAAAAGTGCAGAGATGAAGATTGCCGATTGGTATTTAGACCACATGTAAAATATGTGATTATTATGCAGGTTAGTAAGAAGATAAGCAAGAGAGGGTTAATTAACAAAGTTAGATCCGAAAGAAATGTCGATCCTTCATTATCAGAGTTTTTTGATATTTAGGTACCTTGATACTATTGAAAACATTATAGTGAGAGGAGGGGAGTTGAAAAGGGCACCCTGGGTTTTTCATAAGGACCATGATTGTTTGAATGGTTATGTTTGGGCATTTGAGGAGAGATTTAAAGTTTCAACATCCCTTAAAATGTAGGTAAATGTGGCATTATTCATAGTGAACTTAATTTACTATTTAACTCTTGTTAAATGCCGTTTCTGGTAAACGAAATATTTCTTAAAGTAATAAATAACGAAGCATAAAAGTGTATGAAATATAAATATTACATTAACATTGTACAAACAATTTTTAAAATATAATATATAAAATTATATCACTAGGTATATTAAATAATTATATGATATATTTAATAGCAAATTCTAAAAAATTGTCTAATGTGTTGTATTATGTCCACTGCGTGTTACATATTATTGATCTGTCTATGTTGTTTTTGTATTTCTGCAGGACGTGGGTTGCCAGGAAGCCTGTTCGTTCCACGACTGGCACGGAGGATCACAACCCAGCCCCGTGGTGGAGGCCCGAGGTGAACGTGCACTGACCATCGATTCAGGTACGCTACGTTGGCCGCGGCCAGCCGACCTACTCTCGTCGTCCTCGCAACGTCTGGTGTACGTGATCATGCGACGCCGGGACCCGGGAACCCGGCGCACGTGGTCCCAACTGGGCCAGACGCCCGGCTACAAGGCACGCCTGCCCAAAACGACAGCACCGTGGACGGTCCGCGTGCTCGCAGTCTCGGCAGAGGGTCTGGTGACCATATTCAGCCCTGCACCGGCCACCGCCACTTCCGTTCTACGTGTTCCTGTTGAGTCCGTGGCCGCGAGGGCTGCTGCGTCCGCCGCCTCGCCACAGCTGGATCTCACAGCCACCCCACCACCCACACTGTCATCTCCAACGGCTGCCGCCGTTTTGCACGACCTCCGCGACGCCGACATCATTATCAGGAGCCTCGGCCGAGACCAGATTCTCGGTATCCGGTTACCGTTGGCCGCCAGGTCGGCGCCCCAGGAAGAGTCTCTCCGCCTCATGGTGAGTAGAATTCATGGGCATCAATATCTATCTATGTCTATCCATCCATATACGTATATAATATATATGTATATATATGAATTTTACTCATGCTTCTCGGTCTGGGAATTATCAGACGACGATTCGATCGGTAGGTGGAAATTTGTCGAAACGTCCGTCATGACTTAGGGTTATGTTTTTTTATTTTTCGCACTTGTTGACGACCCAGAATCTCCATAACATTCAGTATTCGGAGTATGCCTCTGGTAACAAATCGAGTGAGCGCAGCGCGTATATATATATATATATATATGGAAATATTTACGATTTATCATAAACCGTCTCTCTACGGGTACCAATATATATATATATATATACACGCTGCCGGTTTGGGAACAAAAAAAAAATAAGCCAAAAATTACCCTTCGCCGTGGAGGTCTGTGCTTTGCATAATTTAGTAGTATATATTATATAGAGCTTACCTAACGTCTCGAAAAGGACGTGGATTGATGAGAGAGAGATCCTTGTGACGACGACGACGGTATATATTATATAGTCCAGAATCTCTCTCCCGGATTGATGATGACTTACTCCGAGCGTGGTTGCTCGTCGTATATTATACAATATATACGCCATGTACATGCATTGGTATACCTATATGGTATATTATATACATATGTGTGTCATAAAGGAAAATATGAATATTTGTTACGCGGGGCACGTTGCGCGCCCCCGAGAGGGTTCTCTGCTGTCGTTTCGCTCTCACGCACGCACGCCCTTACCGTATAGGACGAATAGCAATAATAATAATAATAAAAATAACAATAATAAAAAACGAAAACTAAATAAACCGCCGAGTCTTCTAGGCTGCACCTCGCGGCCATCCGCACGACGTGTTTGCGATCGATTTCCCGCTCGGATTCATTCGTTTGACATTTTTTTCCTTTGCCTAGTATATCATATGCCTACGGGCCGTATACTGTCCAAAATTTGGTCGTTATTTTCGTTATTATTTTTCACTTAATGCGCGTGACATACAAACCTAACCGAATATTGTATATATTCACCATCGTAGAAACTTTTATATACATGCGTACTTAAGTACATATGTGCTCGAGTGTATTATTACACTAAAATATTTTTGTCATCTCATTGTGCGTTCCGTTATGATGATGATAATAAATAATAATATAATAATAGATACGCGTTTTAACGAACCAGAAAATTACGATTGTATAGTGTACTAGCGTGGAGGTGTTTTTTTGTTTTGTTTTGTTTGGCACGCAGCTCGTTAAAATGACGAAACAATAATCAGTATACATCAAACCCGTCGTCGTACTATTTTTTTGTTCTCAAAACCTAACGACGAAATCGTCTCCACGGACGACAATATAACAGTATCTTAGCGCACCGGGTTCGGCCGAGGCAACCTCGTCGAAAGCTATCAATTAAGGCGTGACAGTTATAAACAATACATTTATACAACCATATCTATAATAGGTATTGTATTACACTATTACCTATAGGCTATAATATAGTGAACCGCCTCCAAAAGTGAGGAATGCACTGACGCTCCACAAATGTGCGATTAAAATACATATTATGGAAAAAGTGGTAACCGATATCAATTAATAATTTTGTATTCAATGAAAACGTAAATCGAAATAAAAAATAAAATAATAATAATATTAGGTACTCTTGGATAAGCTCAATTATTGTTTATCTCCATCAGGTTCTTAACGTAAATAATATTATTACAATTTTTTGTACAAATACTGTCACGTAAAGGGCCTGTCCTAAGGAAATATCTGGGTCTAGTAATGTATATCATCATCCATAAAGTACAAAACAATTTTTAAAAAATGATCTATTTTCATGATTCAAAAAAGGTGATTTTTTAAATTTTGTCTTTTTCGGTACCACTTGTATACGGTATCCGGTAGGTATAATATAGGAAATTGTGTGAATTGTACGTCTTTTTGGGGCAACCCTTGAACATTTTAATTGCTAAATATTTGTTTTTCAATATACCTATAACATTTGAAGTTTGATAAAAATTAAAGGCAATTTTTTCAAATTGGATATTTTTAAAATTGGAAATGATTTTTATACTCACAATAAATTAAGTATATGGTTTTACTCAAATAATGTGCACTAAATAAATTGATAAAATACGATTTTTTGAACCTAGTATTCTAAACTTTACACCCTGAGTATGAAAAAGACTATTCACTCGAATAAGTTTTAAATCATATATTCATATACATATAATATAGGGGCATTTAGGATGGAGAATCGGGAACATATCCATGGCCCGCATAAAAACGACCGTTAGCTGTCGATCGTTCGTTTCGTTTAAATCACTGAGGATAGTACGTTATAATAATTGATGACATCATCATATTATTACGAGTGATCCGACTGATGAAATAAGTCGGACGTGTGCACCACCGCTACAGTCGCCGGTACGAAATCAAAGGACCGTCGACGTGCCGGGGAATAAAAGCCGCTCCAGTGTTTTTCACGCGAACCGGAAAATCGTTTGAAACAAGATACATGATGATAAGATTATTATTGTTCGAACGCCATGTCGACTTTGTCTCCGCCACCGCCGCCTGTGATCGTATAATAATATAATATGTCATATAATAGCACGCCGCTCTGGGAATAAATTATATTCATAAAACGCTGGCGGACCGCGTGTCGACTTTGCACGGAGACCGCGGGACAATAAAAAAAAAACGGTAAATCGAGCTGTAAATGTTAATAATAATAATAACGATACTAAAAGTCCCCCCCCCCCACTCACCTGTGTAGTATCGTGTGTAACGACTATGTTACTTCGGCACCTATAATATAATATCATGTATTATTTTATGCTATTAAGATTATTGTTTTTTTCACCTTCTCCTCGATCGCTACGATTCCGCCCAGGAACGATATCGTCCTGGACAATGATAATTTTGTATTCGTCTGAATTAATTCACGCTATGCCGGTGCGATGCATAATATTATGTATATGTTAAATAATGTCTGCGTGATTTCGTTATAATAATATGGTGATATTATAATGTAATAACATTATTATTGTTGTCGTCGCTGTTATCATTTTGGTAGTTGTTGTTTACTCTCCCGGCTGTTGCGAGAAAATGAATAGGCTCTTCCGTGTACAATATATTTGTATAATATACACCCATAGTTGCGCGTGAGAAACTCGACACCTGCGGTACGCGCCAGCGTCAACGCCGCCGCCGCCGTTCCCCACGGCCGACCGATAATAATATTGTTAATAATTGGCTCGGTCTCTCACCCGGTTCACTTGAGTGCGCCTCCCCCGTCGCCGCGTATAATACATATAAAAGGTATATAATGCTGCACGCGGGTATAATATTATAATAATAATGGTCGTATTAATATTGAGCCCCGCGCGCGTATATTAATCTAATTAAAGCACACACGTCCCGTAAACGTGTGAGCAACATAACACGCTTCTAAATATTGTAATCATCGCGAGAGCGTTACGCCGAGGCGGTCGTGTTTCCTATAGCGTAATCATGTACCTATGTATAATAATTATAACCTATATATACGTATATATTATAATGACGGGAAAAATTATAGTGATCGTTTTTTGGATTTTCGTTAAATTAAAAAATTCGATTGCGTTTTCGTTTCAGACTCTAATCGTAGTATTTCAATAACAATAAACGAGTCTTGTACATAATAACCTAACCTAACCTATGCTTGTGCGACTTGATGTTTTACATCTGCATCGATTTGGATTTAGACCGCTTATACCTCAAGTCGTATGTGAACCTGGCCGAAAATTATTGTCTTTTTATCGACTTCTCAGTTTGACTATTAATACACTCCGTATTGCCTAAAGTCGAAATTATGTGCCTGCAGTGTGAACGGGTGGGCTGCAATGTTCACGGCAACACTTCGATCATACCTTGTTGAAATGAACCATTGTTGATGTTTGTACAGTACTTTTGCCATTTTCGTATTCGAGTGGTTTAAATATTATTGGCCGATATAGTCTCCGAGAACAATTTATATATTATGTATAATATGGAATAGGCACCGGAACATTCACTGTATATTATAATCAGTGTGCAGTATCGACTTGTCCTACTTAATAAGAGAGCGCATAGAATAAAATTCACCAATCGCGTGGAAAGATTAAAAATCCCAATTACAAATTAGTTTGTTATTATATTTTGGAATACTATAAGTTTTCTATTATAAAATTTCAGTTTAGCATATTATATTACATCGTCGCAGTTAACACATTTTCGCCATAGACTATAAACTGTATTATGATATGCCATATTATTCAGGCTATTAAATTACGTAGGTACAGGTAACGAAATCCCAGAGGGGGGGGGGAGTAATGGCCACTGCCAATGGCGACCAAGTCATGATCCTGCTGTGCCCGCTCAATCTACAGGGGTGGATCACGAGTACTAGGACGGTGCGCAGAAAACAAAAAAAACTCGCTTTTAGACCGATTTTTATTATCCTTTTTCACTCTTACCGCGGGTAAAAATATAACCCACAATAACACGTGCGGTGACGTAGACGATGAGTGCTCCCCGACGATCCTCCGCGGCGATTTCGACGGGCGCCACTTCGGTCGGCCGCCAAATACGAGTGTTATCTGATCGGACGAGGGTGAGAGAAAAATAAAACGCGTCAACGGGCCGGTTATTGATTACGATTTTTTATACATATACAGAAATATATATATTAAATGTATTGTATAGATACTATCGTATAATATCTTCGGCCGACACCCACGCACGCACGCATGCCACCCCCACCCGCGCGCCCGAACATTTTTGTATCCCATTAAAATATGTCTCGGGCGATCGAAAAACATTTTACGATAATTCATTAAATCCCTCTGATCGTATATATAAATATATATGTATAATACAATATGTGTTTATGTGCCTGTGTATTAGAAGAAGATAATATTCTGAAAAAAAAAACCGTTTACAATACCGTAAAAGAACGATGAAAAGAATATATTATCACTCTCCCTTGTAAAATGTAAATAATAATAAATATTCGGAAGAAATAACGATGATTCGGTATCTCGTATGCTGCATGCGTGTCAAGCGAAGCGGAGCCGAGGAAAATATGTGAATTTCAGTTTCAATAAGAAATAAGACATCCATTAAAATTCCGTCGAGTTTTGAGTAAAATGTTCATCTCGCTTCATTCGAATTGCGACAGTCGCCCCCGAAATAATTGTTGATATTGTTTTTCGCGTTCGTTCTGTATGATATCATATTATGTACTATGAAACTAGCTAACCGTTATTGTGAACTCTCGATTTTGTTTTTTTCGAGAGTAAGAAGTATTCACTCACAATTATAATTACCTGCCTAACAATTATTCACAAAAGAATAAAAAGTCAATATCTCGCTTGTATATGAAGATAAACAAAAATTCAACGCAACCGTGTGATTTAAAAAGGGTAAGGTTATGCCAACGTTTATGTTATACTCGCCCAGCACTCGCCTAACCGTCGCATTATATTTATTTTATTATTTCGAGGTTGACTCTACTGGTCGCGTGCACCGTATTATAATGCGACTTGATTTTTCGCAGCTTTTGTAAATTCAACAAGTATATATAATATTTATAATTATAACGAGGTTTTTTATACGCGCTGTGCTCTATTTATTTTGCGATAACAATAACAACGAAATATTGTTGACGTGTCATTTGAAATCCAAAAATGTTTTTGCTCGGAATTAGTTATAACTTGTGAGTTATTTTTATTATACATTTATACGTTATAGTGTACGTGTGAGAACACGAGCGCACGAAAACCGCCATTGATTTCGTTTACCGACAGCACCTCCACTACCCTCCACCACCCTCCACCACCCTCCACCGTTCACCCACGTTGTCGTACGAATTCGAAACTACCCAGGACGTTTCGGCAGTACAATGCATTCGATGTTTTATTCATATCCTATCAACTTTCCCGAGTATTATTATTTATTATTATTATTATTATTATTATTATTACCTTCATAAAAAATGCTGCAAGCGACGTGGATTTTGGCAATTTGAACCGTTTGGGAATACATTTGCCAGGACGTGGTGTCAGAGGTTCTCTGACTTTTACGTTTCGGAGTAAGGGTCTTTGGAGACGTAGCTCCGGGTGGTGATGGTGCGGGTAGAGGTCTTACCGATGTTATTTTTGTGATTCAATAACATTTAACGACTCTTCGTTTTACGAGTCCAGAAACTGTATAATAAAATCAAAACTATAAACCGAGTGTGTGTGTGTGTGTGTGTGTGTGTGTGTGTGTGAGAGTGTACACTAATGGTGATATTAAGATCTATGAGATCTCACACGAAATTAATTTGAATCCATCATCTGAAGGCTTTCGATAATTACCGACTATAAATAAGTTTTAGTGAACAGCTGTTCAACACGATACATCTTTAATATGCAGTAGTAATCGCCGATTTAACGTAAGGGTTCATTGGCATAAGACAAAAAAACGAAAATTTGGGATTAATGATAATGTTTTCAATCAGGATTTTGGGTGCGGAGTACCACCGCAGACCCTATTTTAATCGAAACGAATAGAGCCCATATGGCTATAATGCTATATAGTGTGTGTAACGTCAGGTTAGGTTACCGCATATTTATAACGTTGTTGTCTGAACCTCACCCGCTTATGTTCCATCGTATATTATACGCCTTACATTTACTGTCTCAAATCGTGTGTAGCATAATTCGTTGTCCTTACAAATTATTGCAGTACTAAACCGTTAATATTTAAAAATTTAAATACCTATGTTGTATTCTTATTTTTGTCAAACATCATTGAAATAACTTTTGTAGTAGGTACCCATAGCTATAATAATTGGTTTCACTATACCCAATCTTTTATTGTGCACGTCACGCATAGGCTTGTACAAAAATGTTTCCAGGGGTGAGGAGTTTCTTGGTCATCACTATGTATAGTGTACCTTATAAATATATAATATATATAAAATATATTGCTCTTTCACGTGTCTGATTTTAAAAAGCCAAGCGGGAGAAATATCCCGTCTTGTCCCTTCCTCCTTTTTATTCCCCATTGCTCAACCAATTATTTAACAAACGAGGCTCTCACAGCCGGATGGCTAGGCTCACCAATGAATACCCCCCCCCCCCCCCCCCCCCCCCCCCCCCCAGTTTAGGTTTTTAATCTTGTTAATATTTGAATATCAAATTATTGTTATTATGTGCATATATACTCACACTATGCCTTCGTATAACTTCGGCTCACTCCCGTTGTTATACTTAAATTATTATGAATAAGTTTATACGTCATCATACATATATTTCGTTTTTCAGGGAGACGACGATCCATCGGACACTTCGGAAGTGTGGAACCTGCGCGAAGTGTCGATGATCCATCAGAAGGTGTTGGTGATCGCCGAGGTGGCGTGGGACGCCCGACAAGTCCACCGTCCCGCTTACCTAGTCACTTGGGAGATCGATGGCGGCGGCCTGAAGGGCAACTTGTTCACGGACACCACGTGCGTCACACTGTCCCTGTGGCCAGACACCGCATACCTCATACAGGTCAGTAAACCATCCAGTACAATCGTCTGTTAATTGCTGGTGCCTCGCAATGACAATCATAATAATTATAATATATTACCAATAGTGTCGATTCTGTGAGGCCTGAAGCCAATCCGTGCGCTTGAGTACCGGCTGTCGTGTCGCCATGTCAGTTGTTATTGGACAAATGTTTACAAATACAATATATTATGTATTATATTATATAATATGCTAAGTCCGTTTTACTAAAATACGTACCTATATATGTAGAAAGGACATAAGGTAGGCGACTATAGGAAAAACGAGACTATGGTCATAATATAATATAAAGAGAATTTCTGTTTAAAAACTTTAAAATTTAAATACCTACCATCATTAACTGTAATCGTTTTTACGGCTTTCTGTGTATATATTATAATATTAAAACGTCTTTTATATATTAGCATTGCAAATATAAATTAAATTGTCTCCGTACACGTTAAAATAGCAGCTCGTATAATAGGTGTCCCGAACTGTATACATATACACACACGCGGGGGATCTTGGTGTTGGAATATTTAATAATATATATGTATAGATTATAGAGGTTATACAAAGATGAGTAAGGTTCTTGAAAGTGAATTTAAAATTACGTTTAAATTCGGTTTAAATGAACCGATTCTCTGAACGGTAGCTGAGTGTCAAAATGAGTTTGCTGCCGAGTTCAAGTTTCGAAGATTTAGTGTACCACGATTATCACAGCCGCTATATCGTACGGTCTGCTACACTTTTCGACGACAGCGTTTCTTATTTCTAAGACTCAGATCTCACAAGTCTTGGTGTAGAATTTCGAGAGTTTCGAGTTTTTTCGCATGATTTTATACATTATTCCACTTATATACCTCATATTTTCGTTAACTAGGACCAGTGCAGCGTATTGTTAAACAATATCTAAACGAACACAATCATTAACAGTCTACGCATAACAGTTTTTGGGTGTGGGGGTGACGCGGAAACTACATTGACGTTATTTTACACACACACAATTCACGTCCCGCAAAAGCCGGAAGTGGAGGTTTACCAGATGCCTAGCGTTGCAGTGGGTGTTTAGGGGTCGTGAATAGGCTAGCCATGAGAGTACCACACTGAAAATGCATGTCATTATCGCTATTTAAACGACTATACACGACTATGATGACGACGAAGAGGGCGCACTACGGCCCGCGTTCGTTTGGGAGGCTATTGTCAGCGACGACGACCAGATAAAAAGATATTTACCGGAAAGAGTTAATCGATGTCGACGACGGCGGCGGCCACGCGACCGACTGAAACAGGATATCGGCGGCGGGGCACCCCGGTCACGAACGGTTCACCACCCAAAGGCCATAATAATAATGATAATAATAATAATAAATCGTATGGGAGTTCCGCCTCCGCGCCCGTAATGATAGTGCGTATTTTGTACGAGTGTGTACCTAGTCGTATTTATAATATGATCTGCGCACCATATAATACGTGGACGGTGAAGGAAAACATAGAGACTAAGGAGGAGATGAGAAAAAAAATCACTGCAGACATAGCTCGGAGAACAGTTTATTTATTTACGTCTGATATATTATATATATAATTCTTTCTGGTGGCGGCTGATAAGAATGAGAACCGTATATTACATTCTATATACTTACTGTATAATAATAATAATAATAATAATATGATATTATGGGATACAATATTATATTATGTTCCCTACATTGCTACGTATATATTATGAAACATTGTATTATATTATGACCCGCATATAAAAAGCAATTGCCAGTGATAACGCTCTCAAACAGGCTCTATATTATTATTATTATTATGAGCCATCGTATACACACACACACACACCCGTTAAAATGCGTATGTAGTAGTGCAGCCTCGGGTTCGCGAATTCAACTTTATATGCTATTATTATTATTATTATTATTATACATATAGATGGGACATCGCGTTTCGATTCGGGACCGAAAAAAAACAAAACCACTTAACGGTTTCCGGCGGCTCGTTCCGACCGATTTTCGACCGGGCTGCTGCAGGACTTGACGATTTCGAGTCGACGCCGACGGGATAATATTGAATTATTACATAGCCGTCACGACGTTGTTGTGTATATGCGTATATTATATTTTATAGAACATCAACGGTACCTGTAATCATAATACACAATATAATATTCTGATAGAATATTCGACTGAATGTGTTATTATTGAAGTAAAAGAAATGCAACGCTGCGCCCTTTTGCCTTACTATAGATTATAATATCAAATATTGAATAGATATATTTTAGGTAAGTTACGTAAACTCGATTTATTATTCAAAGTTGACCGCGAACTCCGGAGAAACACGCTCGCGTTATCGATTTTTCAGTTAAATATTATGGTTGAATGCTGTTTGATCCCATTAAAAAAGTGACGTCCACGCGGTTTGTCCTTCAACTTGATTAAAAGATTTCGCTAATATAGTTTGCTAGCCTTATATTGTTGATCCAAAACCTGTGGTGGACTGGATATTTTGTGATTGGTTTGCACATTCCTGGTCAAAATAGCGAAAGACAGCATGGCCTTAAAAAATAGACTTGCATATTTTTGTAAAGTATATTCCAATGCTGAACATATTTTTTAAACCTTAAAACGAGGGGCCAACTTCATGAACGTAAAAAAATTAGTTCTCTGACATTGGGTAAATATTGACAGTATCAACCTACATAGATATTATGTATAGACGGTACTTTTAGAGTAAAAACATTAAGTATAAAGTGAATAAGTTTTCTAATTTTGAAAGTTATGGGTTAGGTCAAATCACATGAATAGTAACAATATATTATATTATCGGTATTTACCGGAGACCAAACTTTGTCCTCTATTATAATATTAAGTAATCGATTGTACTTTGCGTGTATCCGGACGTATATACATAGTTATAACAGTATTATTGAAGTCGTTCGCTGCGATCGTACAAAAGGAGCGATTTGTCATTTTCAAAGACGACGAGACGAAACACGCATGATGGAAACAAAAGGTGATAATGACGCATCAGATATGAAGATATGGAGATAACATTGTCATGACGCTAGGACGTGTGTAATTATTACGAGTGCCCCGTCGAAACATCACATTAATTATACACACGTAATAAGTACATAATAATATTATTATTGTTGTATTAAACAGCCACGTTATTAATTGTCGGCAACAAAATGCATTTAAATGCGAATCCCCGCCCCCGTGGGCATACCTATAATATAATATTACATTTCAAAAGACGGATGACCCACCGGCCAGCGATGTATTTTTTTGATAACTTCAAACGCGAAGCTTCTTCACTCCCGTCGTCGGCGCAATATAGTAGGTAATAATAATAATTATCGTTATTATTTTAATACGAACGTTTCCTCGGCGCATTAACCATACTATATATTTACGCATAATATTATAGGTCCATGCATATACTGTATATCGTACGCTACTATTACTCCTCCTCCGCTCCGACGTGTGATATTCCGAAAACTTGTTTTCTTATTTTCGTTCTCGTCACGCACGCAAACCTATACCCACAACCGTGGTGTATATACGTCATGCGTGAGTTTTCTACGAACGGTTGTCTTAAAAATGTTTTCAAAATAATAAATTACATATAAACCTGAACGCTGTGCATAATATACGCGTTGACGATCTGCTCATTTTCTTCCGTTTCCGCGGAGTGAAGTCCACCGACGTCGGAGGCCGACAGCGCATGCAGGCTGCTATAGATCATGTCGACGATCGCGGTTACAATAATTAAACGCTATTATTAAATTGTAGATCTCCGAGCACGGTAAATCAATCGGATAATAACAGGTTGGCCGACGGACGGGAAATCATCGATCGCACGACGAATAGGTACAACGTGTGTGCTCCGTAGGTGGTACAAACCGATATGGACAAATTATTAGGAGAATGGATGTATAAAATGCCCGCTCATAGATACAAAGAGTTTATAGTATCAAGTATGTATATAATAAAGTATAGAATATTATACGGTGTCGTTTGCAGCCGAGATATTGACGAGTATAATATATTACTATGGTGCATCGCCGCCAATGTAACTATAGGTATTACAATATATTTTATAGCATGTAAAACCGTTTTTAATTTTGGAAAATTGTCACCCAATTTTAGAGCTATTAGACAAAACAAATTATACTTCCCACATAATTGTTTAAAAGCCATGTTTAAAAAATAGTATTTAGTATAGGTATAGGTACTATAGGTACAAGTCGAAAATAGACAAATAATATACTCATCAAAAAGTATGATATTAGTATGCATGACGTTAAATTTATGTACACACGATTTTAAAATAGGTGCTTGGAAAATCGTTTACATTTTTTCAAATCGTAAAGAATTATTGATTATTTTTATTAATTAATCATGAATTACATTAAAATGACAGTTAACTATGAATTTAGTGCTGTATAATTTATTCAAAAACCGATTAATATATCCGGCCGATCGTTTGATTATTTTAGACTTTAAATAACGTAACAATCAGTTACAATAAACAATGTAATCACTAATTTCGCTCCGAGCCGGTCAAATTAAAATATTTTAGAAGTACGCAACTCTTCCATGCGGATTCGTCTAGAAATGTGTGACTTTTGTTGATTCTTCTTGAAATATACAAGAGCATCTAAACACAAAATAAAAAAAAAAAAACAGTGTCACAGAATCTACGCATTGCGAAACATCGACACATTGAATCTGAACAAAATATAATTACTTTCGAGTCTAGCTTAGGAGATTTGTACTCTTATTGATAAATTCTCTAATATTAATAAGCTGGTGGATTCTATATAGGAAGACGACTTCTGCAGTATAACACCCTGGATACGATATACGTATCACGCGCCATGCCCATATTCCAATCTACCCTCGGGAGTCGTGGTCGTATCATACCGAACGACGTCTCTATATGATAAATGTAAAATGTTGTTTTTCAGTATATGCGCTACTATATTATTCGAC